CAGCGACTCCTGCGCTCTGGGGAACCTGGAGAGGTGAGAGGAGTGGGGCTTCCATGTGGGGAGAGGGAAGATATTAGGAAGGGACAAGGCCATCTGTTCCCAAGGCACCAGAAAACACTGCTCCCGTCTTACCCTTCCACCTTGTTGCTTGACACCCACGTTCCTCAGACCCGGCCCCTCACCCCTGACAACTGCAGGTCCCCACTGACCCAGGGGACGCGGCAGCAGCTCAGCCTCTGCCCTTGTGAGTTATGGAGGGAGAGATGCGAACCCAAATAGCAGTGACTCCAGAGTGTGTTTACACTTAGGTTCACGCACTCAGAGGCTCAGCCGCTCACCGCCAACCAAATCAAAGGAGGCCGTATATTTTGGTAAAAAGGAAAAAAGATGTATTCAAAGCTAGCCCCAAACAGATGGAGGGACCCATTTTCCTCAAATCACTGTCTCACTGTGTACAGGTGGGCAAGGGTCTTTCATAGTAAGGGATGGGAGGGACCACAGAGACAATGCAGACTTCACACTTGCTTTATGCTTCCAGCCCTTCTTCGGCTCATTGTCCCTTTTCTTGTGGAAAGGAAACAGCTCCAGCCTTCTGGGCCAGCATCGGAGTATCCTGTCGCTTCGTCTGGGCTGAGGAACAGAGGGTGTAGTTTATGTGCTCAGCAGCAGGAAGCGTGGAGGAGTTGCTTATCTCTAAAAGAAAAGTCTAACCTTAAAGTGCCATTTTGAGATGTCAATTACATGAAGGTATAAGGGCAAACAAGGTGCCAGGTTGAGTCAGGGGAGGGAAATCTAACAAAGCCTCACAGAGGAGATAACCATGGAAGGGCTTTGGAGATTACACAGGAGTTTTCCCATTGGCTCCAGGCAGTGGCAGATGATGCAGCAGCAGAACTGCAGAGGACTGCAATATTCTGAACCCTGAGAGTGTAGAGTGCTGGGAGATGGAGGCCACAAGGGACAAGGTGGGGCAGGGAGGGGACAGGACTAGAAATGCAAGCTGGGACTAAGGAGTGACAGGTTATAGAAGCTAGACCCACTGTGGGAAGCAAGGAAATGACAGATTCTAAGCTCAGGAAGAGTGTAGTCAACTCTGCATTTTAGAAAGATCGCTGAAGTTTAGGGAAGGATACAGAGGTTGAGACACAGGAGGACCCGTGCCAAGGGGCTAATGTGGGATGTGACTGCGGATGACACTGCTAACTGCAGTGTGTACACGTGGACAGGAAAAGACTGGGGAGGTCAGATGACACAGGGCCAATAGCACCAAGAGACTGTTTCAGTGGGGCGAGGGAGAGGAAGGGCTTCAATGTACAACATCTCAGGAGTCAGCTCCAAAAGTATCTCTGCCCCCTGCCCTGCTGTCCCTTCTAATCAGAGTTGCCCAGAAGCCCTCCAGGTACCCACAAAAGCACCTAACTCATGGCTGGTGCTCACTGACTGTTTGTTGAATGAATGAAAGCCCTGTGCTCATAGGCTTGATGTTAGGACAGCGATCTGACTGAATCACATTCTTCCAGGGGGCTGAAAATGTCCCCATCTGTACCTATAGCTGCTCCAGCAGTTCCTCAGCACCCCGAACATGTTCTAGAGACCTCTTCATGCTGTCCATGGCAGGGTAGCATCTTTGAAAAACCAGAGGGATCAGAAAAACCTGGGATCAGAAGATGTGGGTTTTGTTCCCAACTCTACTACTTAAAAGCTGTGCCCTGCACCTTGAGTTATCTCCTTTATTGTCATAACGAGCCTGTGAGGTAGGTTCTGGTTTCAATCCATTTCTCAAATGAGAGAACTAAGTCTTTAAGAGTCTCCAGGAACATCTTTTCCCTACCAAGATAGTCAACCGAAAACAAAACCACATCCCTGGGGAGAACAATAGGAGTTAATCCCACCATCAAAAACCTGAAAGAAGTGGAATGGTTATATCACGGCCCTCAATTCCCCATCAGTCAGATAGACTTAGAGGATGACTATCCTTTAGGTGATCCTTCAGATGATGATAAGCTTAATCAGGTAATCATTCTACCTGCAACTTCAGGATGAGCACCTTTACTCAACAAATCAACACAGCCCTTAGAAATTAGAATGCAGCTCTCATATGGCTTGATGGTTTTTTTACACACTAATTTTCAAGTAAATAGTTTACTTTTTTTGAGACAGAGTCTCACTATGCAGTTCAGGCTGGCCTTGAACTCATGGCAATTCTCAGCCTCCTGAGTGCTGGGATTATAGGTATACACCCTACTCCCCAGAAACATTTTATTTTTATGTGGTACAGCCAACACTATACTGCCCCAATGTTACCTTGGGGCTTTACCATTTCTCCCACTCTCCCTCAAGATATAGTTCACAAAGACTTTGCTAATCTTGACATTCTAAAAATATCCCTTTTGTCTACTATATTCACAACATTGTGCTGAGTAGACCAGATGAGCAGATAGCAGCAAGTAGTTAACACACCTTAGGGAGACATAAGTGAAATAAACTCCACAAGAATCCAAGAGACCATCAGCTCAGTGAATTTTCTGAACATTCACAGGTCTGGAGAATGTGAAGAGAGATCTTTTCAAAGTGAAAGATGAGTCTTTAGACCTCATACCATTTATTATGAAAAAAGGGCACAATGTGGAAAAATACATACTATCCAAACACTAGCCAAAAGAAATCTGAGTAACTATATTAAGTCAGACAAGGAAAATGATATGTAAGTGTCAGTTTTATAATTAATAGTTCAACTGTACATCTATGCTTTGAATTTTTTCAATATGAGTTATCTTTCACAACTGAAATAATTTTTAAAGTACACTGATGTTGTGATTTAGGACCTTTAAGATGAAGAGGACTCTTCAAAAATTAAGAAGGACACAAGATGTAGGTAAATATCTTATCGCTTAGGGATCCTGGGGAGTATGTGATACACCTGGAGGCCACAGACACACACAGTCAGGGGGTGAGGGCAGGGAGAGAAAGAGATCCATGGGCCAAAGCTTTTCCTGGGGCCTCAGGGAATTACCCAAATATTTCCCAAAGGGAGTTTTAATTGGTGGGGCTAAGGGAGCCAGGTCTGAGTTCCAGTGAGTCACACTGGCTGAGAGGCAGTGACAGTATCAAATCTGCATGGGCCTTGCAGGGTGTGGGAGTGAGGGGAGCCAGTGTAGGTTGACCCTAACTGTCCCACAGGGAATGCTCACCAGGCACAGATGTATAAGGCAGCTTTCTGGATTAAACACAGGAAGGAACTTAGAGGTAGTAAAAAAACTGGACACTGTGTCAGGTCTGAGCCCTGACTCTGGTATGGGAAAGTCCAAATCAAAATAGATGCCTAAGTAATATAAGATCATAAGAATTCACCACACATAGATATTTAAAGATAAATAAAAGCTAGGATCAATTGGTCTCTGTTTCTGGCTGGCTGACTTTCTTATGTGTTTTTCATTCAAGAATGCTTGCATATATTTGTCTGGCTTACTGCTTTAATTGTACGATATATTTTCTGTCACCTTTTAGATTTTGTTTCCTCTCTTGGTAACTGTTACTATTCACAAAGGATGACAAATTAAAGGTTCCATTTTTGCCTGCATAGCTACTCCTTTCCCATAGTTGTGGTCTAGCTGTCTTTCCCTTTGTTCCCTTCCCTTCCCTTCCAGTACTGCCTCAGCCCTCACTTTTCACAATTGCTAGGAAAGGCTGGGCAGCAGTTCTTCAGCGACTGGTCCTGGGAAAAGGAATTTGGTAGACAGTGCAGTTTCAGCACCACGGAGAGCGCACCCAGCTTTCTTCAGCAGCCAAGTGGCCTTTATATTTTGTGTTGTGTGTGGTTCCAACACCAGCTGTACTCCCATGTAGTCAGTTCCCGCCGTGCTCAGTTTTCAAAAGCTAGATTTCTAGTATTCAATAAATGTACTAATATGTGTGGAGAGATTTCTCCCAAATAAGAGGTGTGAGGTCGAAAAGCACATGAAAAGAGGCTCAGCATCACTGGACATTAGCAAAATACAAATCAAAGCCACCGTGGGATGCCTCTTCACACCCGCGAGGATGGGTACAATTAAAACAAGACAAAAAGTGAAAACTGTAATTGGTTACCAGGATGTGGAGAAATTGGGACCCTCATACTTCGCTGGTGTGAGTGTGCAGTGGTGTAGCTGTTGTGGAAAGGTTTGGTGGCTCCTTAAGATGTTAGACAAAGAATTATCATGTGATGCAGCAATTCAACTCCTGTCTATATGCCCAAAACATTTTAAAGCAATTCTTCAAATAGAAGCTTGTACATAAATTTTCATAGCAGCTATTCACAATAGCCAAAAAGTGAAAAAGACCTAAATTGTCCATCAGGAGATGAATGCATAACCAAGATGTGGTATATCCATACAATGAAATTGTATTCATCCATTAGAAAGAAATAAAAATTGACACATGCTTCAACATGGATGAACCTTGAAAACATTATGCAAAGTAGAAAAAGCCAGACCTAAAAGGCCACATATTATGATTCTATTTATATGAAATATGTAGAGTAGGAAAATTCATAGAGATTTAAAGCAGATTTAATGTTTGTCTAAGGCTGGGGGAAGAGGAAGGGGTGGCTGTTTAAAGGTTATGGGGTTTTCTTTTGGGGTAATGGAAATATTCTGCAATTAGTTAGTGGTGATGGTTGCACAGCATTATTAATGTACTTGTTGCCACTGAATTGAACTTTAAAATGGAAACTTCTGTTACATGTATTTTACCGCAAACAGAAAAGGATAGACATATAAAATGCTCAGAGGGATTGACCAAATGCTCAGGACCAAACTGGTTCCAAAGCCACCCTTCTTCCTCCTGCAGGGAGTTCAAGTTTTTGGGGTCCTGTGTCAGGCTTCTCATTGCAGCAACCTGGAGAGTGGGTACCTCAACAAGATGCTACCTTCCTGCCCCCTGCCCCCTTCTCTTGCAGCAATTTGCTACACTATGAGTCCTACCTGGTGGAGAATTCGATGGGGACAGTGGACAGGCCTTTTGTGAAGTCTTTGGTCCAGAACATCAGCACTGACACCTCAGAAGACATGCTGTTCTCTCTGAAGCCCTCTCAGGTGAAGGTTTCCCCATGCCCATTGGTTGACTCAGATTCTGTGCTCATTTCACTACTCTGGGAGCTGTAACCTGTCCTGGTGCCCATCATGCTTAACCCTCCCAAAGTAGAGCTTTGCCACCTTGTTAGTGGGTGCTAGTGAGTTAACTATGCAAACAGAACCTGGGCATAGGTGAGCCACAGTATTGGTCTAGAACCACGGTATTGGTGGGAGGTCAGTGAATTGTGGTCAGGAGACCTAGGTTCTATCTAGTTCTGGCCTTTCCACCACTACACTAGGTATCCTCTGGGAAACCCCTCTCCCTCCTTGTGTCCCAGAATCCTTATCTGTAAACTCAGCACACAGGCTCCTCCAAGTCTAAAGTACTCACGAGCTCTTCTGCCCAGGAAGTATATTTGAAACCAAGGAAATGGTACACTTGGTAACGAAAGGGCTAAACAAGAGGACTCTGCATTTACATTCATTCACATTCAAGTTCCAACTCTGCCCATTATCAGCCATTGTGACTGGGGGCAAGTTACTTTTTCTGAGCCCCAGATTCCTCACATGATGAAGATATTGCCTACTGCTGAGATGGTTGGGAGGATCAAGTGAGACAGTGCACAGGAAATTCCTGGCATAGTGAGGGCTCAGCAAGTTTCTACCTCCCTGGGGAAATGAATCCAAGGATGGAGGTCCAGGCGGCCAGGCAAACTGGTTATCATCAAGGGACTTGTAAGTATGTCTGGAGAAGGGGAAATGGAAGAGAGGCCCTTTCTCAACCTTTTGTTATACAGCCAAACAGCTGAGCCCACTGCATGGGTGTGGACTGGCCCCAGAAATCATCCATGCGTCCTTTTGACAAGGGCTGGGCCAAGCAGGAGAAAGTTGAACTCGTTAGCTCTAACTCTTAGCTCCCCCACTCCAGTGGGCACACAGGATGCCTCTTAGGGCAAGAGCAGGCAGGAGCAGGAGGCAACCTTAGGAGAACCAGGGAGATGAGGAGATGAATAAACATGCTTTGTAATTACTACTGCGCTTATTTTAATATTTTGACCATTCTTAGTTTTTCAAACATTTATTGTTGGAGTTCACATTCCATCATTGTTGTATTTCACATTCCATGTGAATTCTTATGTCCCTGTCCTCTCCCTTTCTGAATTTCTTCCTCATGACTTTGTTCTTTCCATTATCTCCAAGGTGGAAACCAGACACTACCACCATCAAGCCCGGTCCTGACACAGGGACTGTCAGGAGCTTAACATCCAAAGCACAGCACAGTTGACCCTCTTGCAAACTAAGCTTGCCTGGGTGTCATCCCTCCACAGCTACTTGTGGCCTAGCAGCTGCCTGCACAGGCGCACGGTCAGCTCTGTTCTCCACATCAGGAAGGGTGGAGTCCCTATGTGCTGTTCCTTGTCCCTGGGCCCACAGACTGTGAGGAGCAGAGTCTGGACTGAGCCCTGTACCCTGCCTCTCAGAGATGACAGTCCCCAGAGGGTGCCTCTCCACCCAGATCCCTGTTTCCTGACTCAGCTGGGGCAGTGGCAGGCCCTGTGTCGAGGGCCGGAACCCTTGGGTAAAGACGGGAACCCCTGGGTCTGTGGTTGCAGATCCCGAGGCAGGTGATGAAGGATGAGAACAAGCCCCCCGACAGAGTCTGGCTTCCCAAGAGCCTCTTTGGATCCCTGCAGGGCAACAGACCCACGGTGCGCTTGGCTATAACTATTCTAGACATCGGCTCGGGGAACATCTTCAAGGTGAGGAGAGGCCTGCTGGGGACTCGGAAGCTGTGAGATTCAGTACTAATTTTTCAGGGTCCCATAACCCATGGCCCCTGCTGGGGACTCTGCGTCAGTGGGGAGGGAGTAGGTGGTGCTGAGCCTCCAAGGCTGTCTCCAAGCAGCCTGGTCATCCGAGAGTTGGCTCTAGAGTCTATATCCTGCAGATCCAGGATATGCATATGCTCATGTACCTGGAGGCCCCCTCGGGGCCCTGTCTCCAGGCTGGTCTTAGCCCTGTGTCCCTGCAGTTAAGAGGGCAGGGGAGTCCTGGAGGCCAGCAATGCAGTGCTGTCAGGAACATGGCTTTGTAACCAGTGTGGAGCACAGCCCAAGCATAGCAGGAAGAAGACTGCTCTGCCTCCCATTTGATGGCCATTTGATTCCCTAGCCTTCGACTTCCCCTTCAGGCAAGGGTCACAGGTCCTGGAGATTCCCAGGCCCCCAGCCAGAGTGGGTTGATACAGGCTCCCCTGCAGCCTGGCCTTTCCATCTCCCCTCACAGGGCCCTAGGCTCCTCCAGGAGGAGGGTGGCAGTGTGCTGAACAACCACGTGGTGGGCTTGAGTGTGGGTCAAGCGCCTGTCACTGGGCTGTCGGAGCCTCTGGAGATCACCTTCTCCCACCAGCGTCACTCTGCTGTGAGTCTCTGACACAGCCTGGCAATCGCTGCAAGGCAGACAGACAGGTGGAGCTGACATGCATGAGAACTTGTGCCCTCTTCCTTTCCACATCTACCAGGGGAAGCCGCTAGGGCCGTACACACAACTGTGCCCAGGGTCACAGCCCACCTAGGTCACATATGCACATGCACTCACACACACTCTTGTGCTCACAGAGGTGTAGATGAGGACCTGGAGAACCACCTGTGTGCACACAGCATCCGCATCTGCCTGGGTAACACGCATAGACATGCAAACCCCCTCCCTCACCGCTCCATGGCATGTCAGCACCCTCGCACACTGGTCCAGGGTACATCAGTCAGTGCGGTTGTTTTTCCTAAGCAACCTGCAGGAGTATGGTCTAGGTTAGGCCACCCCTCCTCCGCCTGCCCCCACTGAGACTGTCACTTTCTGGTTTCAGAACATGACCCTCACCTGTGTGTTCTGGGATGTGACTAAAGGTAGGCCCCAGAGGACCTCTCTGGGGTAGACAGGAGGAGGGTGTGGGCTCCGAAGGACCCCCCTCTTCCTTCCTCTGTGTTCCTCTCCCGTCCAGGGCCCACTGGAGACTGGGCCTCCAGGGGCTGCTCCACCCAGCTGGGAGCCGAGCAGACTGTGTGCCACTGTGACCACCTGACCTTCTTCGCCCTGCTGCTGGTGAAAGCCCCCACCCCACCCCCGGGAGCACTGTAGGCTTCCCAGGGAGGGTTTCCTGTTGGGGCCAGGGCCTTTGGGGTGCGTGGGCTTGTCCCCTAGCTGATGTGGCCCCAACTTGGGGGTCATCCACAGAGGCCGACCTTGGACAGGGCCACCGTGACAGTCCTTACGCGCATCTCCCAGGCAGGCTGCGGGGTGTCCATGATATTCCTCACCTTCGCCATCATCCTCTACATCGCTCTCAGGTGGGTGACCCCGTCTCCACGCCACACCCTCTTCTGGCCCTGGCACTGATACCCTCTTTGCTCCTTTTCTCCTCTCTGACCAAGCAGGGTTGGAGGCTGAAATGTATCAGGGCTGTTTTGTTGCAAGTGACAGAAACCCAACCCAGTCTGGCTTCCCACGATAAGGCATATGTGGCTTGTGCAATTGAAACACCCAAGGTGTATGGACTTCAGGCAGGGTTGGACCCAGGGCCTCAGAAGAAGTCCCCAGGGCCTGGTCTCCGCCTCTCACAGCTTTTCCCTCTACTCTGTCAGTCATGCCAGGCAGCTTCCCACTTGGGCCTTTGGGAGACCCAGCCCTTCCTACAGCTCCTTAGATGCTCAGGCAGAAATGTGAGCCAAAGATTGAGGTCTCTTTTATTTAAAAATGTATTTTTAAATAATTACAGAAGAACTGGGAATTGCAAAACTAGCACGGAGTCCATAGTCCCTTCTCCCAGCTTCCCCCAGTGGTGACGTCTTGCATAACATAGTACAGTATCAAAACAGGATAGCGATGCAGTACTGCCGACTAGTTTTCATCATTTAAATATACGTATGTGTGTGTGACTCTGTGTGTGTGTGTCCAGGAGTAGGGATACAATTTGTAAGGCTCAGCCCAAAATAAAAATACATGGCCCCTTGTATAAATATTATGCAGGCCAGGTGCAGTGGTACATGCCTATAATCCCAGTACTTGGGAGGCGAAGGCAGGAGGATTGTGAGTTTTAGCACAAACTGGGCTACATAGGGTGTTGAAGACCAACCTGGATTATATAGTGAGACCCTCTCTCAAAAACCAACAACAAGCTGGGTGTGATGGTGCACACCCATAATCCCAGGTTTCTGGGAGGCTGAGGCAAGAGGATGGCAAGTTTGAGCCCGGCCTGGGCAACTTAGTGAATTAGTGACACCCCACCTGAAAATGAAAAATAAAAAAGCTTGATGGAGCTTAGTATGAAGGCCCTGGGTTCAGTCCCCAGGACTACAACACAATAAAAACAAGAGCAAAATTATTCAGACCGTCACAATGGTGACAGCAAAGTATTAACTGAGACTGGGGCCCTAGTGACCCCAGGCCCCTGCAGAGGTCACACTTCCACACTGGCCCGCTCTGCCTGTGTGTGTGTTTGTGTGTGTGTGTGCGTGTGCATGCACACACACGCACACACTTTATCCATGTACACAGCAAAGTGCAGTTTTACAGCTGTGGCTGGAACCAGCCTGTGCCTGCAGCCATGTGGTCAGGATGCAGCCACTGCCCTGTGGGCTTCATGGCTGCATGTGGGGAGGGTGTTCTTCAGAGTCAGGTGGGGCTGCATCAAGAGCCGGGAGCAGGTGCAAGAACAGCAGAAAGCACTGTCCCCTGCTCTCCTGAGCTCTGTCCCTGGGTGAGGAGCCCCAGGACCTGAGACCTAGCCTGCCTTGCCTTCTACTCCTGCAGCCCCAGCTCACCGTGCCTGGCCTGGGGCAGCATTTCGGGTCTCCCAGTCTGGGGCTCCCCTTCTGCCCCCTCACATGCCTCTGTGCCTCTGTTATGGCATGGCCCTGGGTGCGGCCCCATGAACCCACCCACCCCACCACACGCCTGCGCCTGGGAATGAGTGGTGCCGCCTGGCCCTCCCCGCTCTGAGCCCTGGCCTTTGACACCATCCCCACCCCCAACAAGCTGAGCACCACTTGCCAGCTGGCTGCATTGCTGGACCCTGTGAGCTGGGCTTAGAGCACCAGGCAGGAGTGTCACCAGCTCCCAAGTGTTGGGGCTGGCATCTCAGGTGAGGGTGACATTGTCCCTTATACTCCTCCAGCCTGCCTGGGGCTCCATCCTTCAGTGAGAGCCCTCTGGGACCTGATTTGCAAGGAATTCAGAGTGAATGATCCATAGGGAGGGAGGCGAGACCTGCTAGGAAGCGCTGGGCAGAGAGGTGGCCCAAGGCTCTGTGACTCTTGATGTCTCTTCCCCTCTCTGATCCTCTCTCCCTACTTCATCTGAGGCTCACCCATCCGTCCTGTGTCACCCACTTGTCCAGCTAATGAAACAAGGGCCCTCCTGCCCACTGCGCTGGTGCCCTGAGTTCACAGAAAGAACACAGCAAAGGGGAGGAGAGAGGGTTCCATTGTGCTGCTGGGATCATCCAAATCAGCCTGGGCTCCGGGCCATTCTGGGGAGCCTCCCAAGAAGGAACTATCGCAGGGTGTTTTGAAGGCAGTGTAGGAGTTGGGCAGGCCAAGAAGCAGAGCCAAGGGGTAGGAAAAAGTGTTGAGAGTATGGGGAAGGCTGTGCCACATCTGGGAAGCATGAGAAAGCAAAAGGCACTGAGGAAATGGCAGGCTGTGCGTTTGGTTAATCATGGAGCCAAGTGATGACCCTGGCAGGACCCGACCCGCAGAGGCCTGTGGGCCATGAGACAGCTTCTGTACTTGAACCTGGGGGCTCACACGTAGGCTGGTGGCAGGGGAAGAAGCTGGAGGATCTGGCAGTGGGGATGCCAGGGTGGAACCGAGACAGTGATGTGGATGGGACTGGGTGCTCCACTGAACTGCATCCCCTGGGGTCCCCCATTGGCCCTTCTTGCCCCAGGCTCTCTCTGCGGAGGTTCAAGTCAGAAGATGCCCCCAAGATCCACGTGTCCCTGAGCAGTAGCCTGTTCCTCCTGAATCTCGCCTTCCTGGTCAGCGTGGGGAGTGGCTCGCAGGGGACCAGTACCGCCTGCTGGGCCCGGGGTGCTGTGTTCCACTACTGCCTGCTCTGTACCTTCACCTGGATGGGCCTGGAAGCCTTGCACCTCTACCTGCTGTCCATCAGGGTCTTCAACACCTACTTCAGCCACTACTTCCTGAAGCTTAGCCTGGCGGGCTGGGGTGGGTGCTGCCTGGGCAGCAGGAGGGGGCCCTCTCAGATAAGCCCAGTGCTTGAGGGGTGGGCAGCTGGAGGGGATTTGGAAGCAGACGTGCCCAGGATGCCCTGGTGATGCCCACTTGTTCTCCTCATGCCCAGGCCTGCCCGCCCTGATGGTCATTGGCACTGGGATTGCTAAGAGTTATGGCCTTTATGCCATCCGGGACCAGGAGAACCGCATATCACTGGAGCTGTAAGTGGTGGGCAAGGGAGCAGGGTGACACCAGGCTCCCATCTGGGTCTGGAGGGAGGTGGGGGAAGAGGGTATCCTAGGAAAGAGAGGCCAAGAATGTGAACTCCACAATCTTCAGATCCAGCTAGCTTTGGGCACAGGAAGTGAAATGGGAGGGGACTCAGGAAAGAATAGGCAAAATAAAAAAGGTAACTCCCTCCCCATACCCAGCACTCAGCGTGGTGAGTGAGGCCAGGCTGAATTTCTGGTGCCCTTTGGTGGGGCACAACCTGCCCAACAACTCTAGCAGCCCAGTCTCTCCCTCGACTACTAGGGGTGTGACTTAGGGGAGCCTGGCCTCTCCCAGGTCTCAGTCTCCTCATCTATACAATGGGGAGGACTGCAATGGACTGGGAGTCACCTGTCCATCTAAGACACTGCTGGTTCCTATCAAGAGAAGCAGAAATCTGGGTGTTTATGTCAAGCCTTCTGATTTCAAGTGCAGCTACTAATTCGGGATTTTTACAACATGATGTGAAGCAAATGAAACACAACTCTGGGGTTGATTCAGCCCTTTTACAGACAGTATCTACAGAGCCACCAGGCTGGCCCCTTGCCCAGGGAGAGAGCAGGGGCAGATGGGTGGAAATGGTGAAAAGGCATCTTCTTGGTTCTAAAAGATCAGTCAAGGGAGACTTTCTGAGGCTTGCTGTTCAGGGGGGTCTTCTTCCAGCCCTAGTGGTCATCCACCTCCTCCAGGTGTTGGTTCCAGAAAGAATCTGCCCTCTATGCCACTGTCCATGGCTACTTCTTCATCACCTTCCTGTTTGGCGCTGTGGTGCTGGCCCTAGTGGCCTGGAAGGTCTTCACTCTGTCCAGTGTTGCAGCGAACAAGGAGCGGGGACAGAACTGGAAGGCCGTTCTCACCATGCTGGGCCTCTCGAGTCTGGTGGGCATGACCTGGGGGCTGGCCATCCTCACACCGCTAGGCCTGTCCACCATCTATATCTTTGCCTTCTTCAACTCCCTACAAGGTGAGGTTCTTGGACCTGGGAGGCCATGGGCTGCCTGTCTGCACCAGGGGCTGCTGGGAGGTGGGGAAGTGGGTGTTTACAACAAACAGGACTCCAGAAAGGCTAGTGCAAATCAGGCACACTGATTTTACGTATCTGGTGCTCTCTTAGGATCTGGGACAACAAGGGTGGCTGATTCATAGGGGCTGGTACCAGATTCAGGAAAAACCATCCAAACAAAAGCATATTCTTCTCCCTTCTTTTGTTTTGAAGTTGTGTATTGTCTCTCACTGGGTGTCTGTGGAAACTCCTTTATTCTCTTGCTCTTGCCATTACTACCATGGCCCCAAATGGCTGCTCAACATGGCTGCCTCTGCATGATCTTGCAAGTCAGCTGACCATCTCTGGTCCAATCAGATGTGATCAGATGGCAAAGTCATGTGATTTGATGGCCACATGACAATGATAGGACCTCTAAGGAGCTGTTGAGGGAGGAAAGGGATGATTATTATGTCTGTTATCTGGCCCAGCTCCTCTTTCCTCTAAGAGCCCAGGAAAGGAAGAGTCCAGAGAGTGGGTCATAGTTTCCTTCCTGTACCTGAGCTCTTTACTCCTTGATCCCTTATTCATACACAAACAGCTCAAAAAAGCATCCTGCCTGACTGTGAGGGTAACAGACAAGAAGCGGGTGACCAGCCTCTTCCTGCCTGGGGCAATCACTAGGATGTCAGTCATCCTAAATGTAGTGGGTGCAAACTCACAAGACCAGGGCTCCATGGCACTGTGTGCTTGTGGTTGGGGCCAGGTGGATGTGGATTGAGTCCCTGTTCCACCACCCCTCAAGCAAGTTATTCAACACTGTGATCCTCATTCATCTCTCCCCCTTTTTTTCCCTTCTGGTGCTGGGGATCACACCCAGGGCCTTGAGAATTCCAGGCTGAGCCACATCCCCAGCCCCTCTTCATCTCTCAAGTCAGGACAATCGCAATTCTTATCTCTCCAGATTTCATAATGGATAACTAGTCATGCATGTGTGGGGCCTAACAGGTCTTTGGTATGTGGGAACTATATTAATAGCAATAGAAATTATTATTTTGGGGCCATCTAAGGCTGTTCCCAGCTGAAGAATCCTGAGTCCATGTCTGGAAAGTCCCACTGGCTAAGGATTAAGAGAGATCAATCTTGAAATTATAGATTATATCATTATTCTTGCAGAAGTTGCTTTAATATTTCAGCCTACATGGCTCACTCTATTTAGTTAAGCTTCAGTTGAGCCTACATTATTTGGTATTTCTAGCTTCTTCCCAACAGAGCCCTGGGTACCTTTCAACTGCCATGGGACCCTTCTCAATAGTATTATTGTGGTATAGCATTTGTTATGAGTTTCCTTTCAGTGTGCATGTATTCTTTCTCAGTCAACATCTGTACTTCCTCTAATTTCCTACATCCCCCTCCTTCACTCTTCTTGCTGTAATCATTTATAGAGGAACGGTAGAGAAGCCCACTGCAGTAGTGGTGGTTGTTTTGTACGTCTGAAAGTTCCTTTATGTGGCTCTTTCTTCTCTGTGATAGATACATGAGGTGAGATTGAAAAACATGATGTGTGTTTTAAACAGAAGCAAATAACAGTGAAAAACACATTGTCATTAATCCTCCTCAGAATGCTTCTCTCTCACTTTGAACGCACTTACGCTGTCATTCTTGCCACTTTCTGCCTTTACTTGCACTGCTTTGGATGCCTTGATGTCCTGAATCAATTAAAAGTGTTTACCTTTCATGGTTATTTTGACTGGAGAAGACCCAGAAGTCACAGGGCACTGGCCCCTTTAAATCAGTGAATTTCAGTGACTCAGGTGGACGAGGACACACTAACGTTTTTATAAGCCTGGCTTCCCATAGGATGGCACTCAGCAGCAGCACTCATTATATTTTTGATCATACCTCAAAAAGATATGCACAAGAGAACGTCCAGAACTGCTTGGAAATGGCAAAAATGATGAGATAAGTGTATTCAGAGGCAGAGGGAGTATTTTGCAGGGGAATCCACGGCAATGTGTCTTTTACTACAGTACATTTTTGGTACCGGGAATTGAACTCAGGACCTTGAGCTTGCCAGGCAGGTTCTGTACTGCTGAGCTGTAACCCTGGCCCTGAAATATGTTTTTAAAATTTAAACATTCAAATTATTTTTTGATCAGCCCTTGTAGGTTCATATCTTATTTCAAGGTCTCTATTTTTCATTTCCAAGATTTCTTTTCAGTTCTTTTATAGGAGTAGGTTTTATTTTTGCCTGAATTTGTTCTAAGCCCTTGAATATTTACAGTGGGGCCTTTCTGCCCTCAGCAGCCGCCGCCCAGGCTGCCCAGCACCTTGAACCCACTGAGCTCGTCTCTCCACCGCAGGTGTCTTCATCTTCTGCTGGTTCACCATCCTCTACTTTCCGAGTCTGAGCTCCACATCCTCCTCCTCTGGCACCACCGCCCGCCTGGACCAAGTTCATTCCACGTCGCACCAGTAGGAGCTGCAGCCCTGTTCTCTCATCAGGTCTGGCTCGCTGCATGGCCTCAGTGGCTCCCTGCTTTGTCCTAGGCCGCAGCTGCCTTCTCTGAACATTGTGGCTGCAGAGGGAGATGATGGACCAAGTTGGACCATGTGGCCTCATCTGTCCCATCCAGATACGTATGTGGGCCTGAGAGTCCACACATTTGGGCTGGCAGGAGGCTGAAGTTCCTGTGGCCCCGAGACCCCGCCAACAAAGAGCATCGCCATCACCTCCTTGCCCACCTGCACAGCACAGCTCTCTGGTTCTCTACCATTGCCCACCTCCTGGTCTCAGCAGGGGCCTGAGCCCAAAGAGCAGGTCTGGTTTGCGCAGCCCCTTGAAGAAGCACTCAGCCTCTCCCCCTGTTCTCCCTGTCACAGCTCTGCCCTCTGGCTGCCTGTCCCCTGGAGGGTGTTCAGGAGGTCATTGTCCTCTGGGGCAAGAGGGAGTTGTAAACTAGAAGCTAGTTTTGGGGGTGGGCTGGTCCTAATCTGGTCATCCTTCTGGATGACCTTCTGGATGACCTTCTGGTCATCCTTCTGTGGACGTCTTCTCTACAAGTAGGGACCTGGGCAACCTCACTTACCACTCCAGCCTAGCATGAGCTCAGGGCTGGTCCATGTCAAGCCAAACTGGCACAAACATTTCAATAAACACTCATATTTGCTGGCTGAGCAGAAGGATGTAGGCTGGTCCTAACCTCCACCCCACCAGTGTCCATTCTCATGAAAGAAACCCTATCCTTGAGGCCCTGCCAGCCTTCAGGGCCCTGGGGACAGTGGTTTTCCAAGATTTCCACCTAGTGTGTGTGCTCCCTGAAGTGTATGTGTCACCAGCTGCCAGGTGGGTGGCTGGACCTCTGATCTGCTGTCATCATGGGGTCGCACACCCATCCATTCAGTGTTCGGGGTCGAGGGGTGATGGGGGAGAGGGCTTGCTAGGCAGAGAGTAGACGTCTTCTTCGCAAGTAGGGACCTGGGCACCCTCATTTACCACTCCAGCCTAGCATGAGCTCGGGGCTGGCCCATGTCAAGCCAAATTGGCACAAACATTTCAATAAACACTCACATTTGCTGGCTGAGAAGGATGTATTGGCAGGGTCTGTCGGGCCACACCCAGCTCGGGGACATCACTTCCAGTAGCTGGGCCTCCTTTCCAAACTGCAGGCAGGTTTCCAGTAGGAAGCAAAAAGCAGCAGAAATAGTAGACATAGAGGAGAGACACACAGAGAGGAGGACAGAGAGACTTGACAGACACGGATAGGAAACAGAGGCAGAGAGTGAGGTGGCGGCCAGGAGAGCATCTGGCCTCTCCCCACACACTGTCGCCCCCACTGTGGTCTTAGCCAGCCGCCCAGCTCCTCACCCACCCTCTCCAGTGTCTCCATGGACTCGACAGGAGGGGACCCATTCTCAGGTGCTCCCCGCAGGCCCCACACCGTGGGCTGCTCTCTGGGACTGATGCAGAGATCCGCTGGAGGGGACGCTCCCTTCTCCCTCCTCCCACCCAGCCACGGGGCGCTGGAGCCATGAGAGACAGGAAGGTGACGTGCTCTGTACAAGCCGCTGTGTTCCTGGAAGGGAAATCCTGGGGTGTGGACACTGTGTCCGTTGGGCGACAGCGTGTTTTTGTGGACAAATACAGTGCCTTTGGGGACTTATCTTCACAGACATCTGTTTCTCATACTGGAGGGCTCGGTTCCCTGACCCCAAAGTCTCTGCGTCCATGATCTGATTAACCTGAGCAACACTTGTTCCCGCTGGCGTCTGACAGGTCTGGCTCTGCTACTCAGGAGCTGTGTGGCCCTGGGGCCGTCCCCTCCTCTCCAAGCCTCATTTTCACCCTCCGTTAAAATGGGGATAATTAGGTCCTTGCTTCATCCTAGCAGCATTATGTGATGTGATAAAAACGAAGCACCCAGCACTCACTCAGCAGGAATTGGTTGACTGCCCCCTTCGCCCGGCCCCTTGACTCAGAGAAGGCACCGTGGAAATGGAAGCCCAGTACCCCCCACCCAGCCAAAGCCCCTCTTAAGGCTGGGCTCAAGCTGGGCCTAGGTTTCTTGGCGTGGCTGGCTCTTCCCCTAGACTATCACCGGCTTCCATCTTGAACCTCAGGGGAAGCCTGGACTGCAGCTCAGCCAGACATGCTGGGTAGGGTGTAGGACTGACCATGGCACACACTCCCTTCAGCTGGGTTTAATTGTACAGACTGGGAGGTAGCCAACATTTTCCTGGTTGGCTTTCCACCGCAGGGCGAGGCAGGGGCTGAGTGGCCTAGGTCACTGCAAAAGCGGCTCCCAGTGCTCAGCTGAGAGGAATTAAGACCTGAAGGCCAGGGCTGATGGACAGAGCGTCCATCATTGCCAGGCAACACTCTTGACCAAGGAGGGGGACACCGTCATGGTTGGGAACAGCCCCGGGTCCACCTGCCTGCTCCACACTCTGCTCCACAATTGCCCAGGGCCCGGCCTCACCTCCGGTCCTGAGCAGCCGGGTACACAGACAGCAAGTGTATGTGAGACGCTGGCTCCGGACTGCCCAGTGCCTGTCCCTCTGGCCCACCGTGAATGTGCCTGAGCCAGAGCCTTGCCTGGCCCTCACCTGGGAGTGACCGTCAGAGAGCGGCAGAGCAGCCCCTTTCCACCAGGGCCTCTTCTTCCTCTCTTTCTGCCATGTCTTCCTCTCCAGTGTTTTTATTACAACATAACAAACATGCAGGACATTAGAAGACTTATTTGCTCTATGCTGTCATATGACTTAATATTAAAAGACATAAAATCCTTTACAAATTAACCTATTCAATGCAATCCCAATAATGATTCCACTTGCTTTTATTTTTTAGACTCTCCAAAAACTGACTCTAAAATGTATATGAGGCATCAAAGCTTCAAATTACTGTCAATCTTAATGAAAGGGGGCACCGGAGGAAATAAAGCATCATGGGTCTAGTCCCAACCCCATCTCTGACCTCCAGATAGGGAAAGGTATTTACAGGGCCAGAGTGCTAAACCGGAGACTGCAGGGATAGGAAGGAAGAAAATGAAACAGAACAGCACACTCAGTCACAGACCCACGCACAAATGATGACAAAGGTAGCACTGTCAAGAAAGATAAGTTTTCTGCTGATGGTGTTGGAAAATGGTTCAAATGAAACTACCTCAAATATAAACCACCTCAAGAGCCCATGCAAGAGCAAACTAGGGTGAAATAATTTGGAAGTCGTAAGTTTTGAGTACCCATTGCTTTTGTTTTTACTATAGTTATTTCCTTGTAGGGTTTTTATCATTGAATTTTTAATAGTGCTGTATTTGATAACTGACTCAGAAAAATCCCTTGAAGTTTAACTAACAATCACCTCTTACACACCGGTGCTCCACTGTACCAGCCTATCAAGGTGGGGGGACCTGGCTGATCACAGAGGACTACATTTCCCAGAAGCCCCCTCTCCCAGGACCAGCCCTCAGCTGTAACCATAGAGATAGCTAACAGATAGTGAGGCTGTCCACCAAGGGTAAGGAGGGTACACGGTGCTGCGGGTGGCTGGCAGGGGGAGAAAAAAGGAGGTAGGGTAAGGGGTGTTTTTGACCTACAGCCTCCAGGCCTGATCTTTCTGGGAAAGTTTTGTTTTATTTTGGTGTGTGTGTGTTTAGAGGCAAGCGGAGGGAAGTTGCTGCTGGGGAGTTGTGCAGGGCCTTTGTTAGGCAGGGTCCAGGGAATTTTGAGGGACCTGCCTCCCGCCAACTTGGCTGTAGCTGAGGAGGAAATAAAGCGTCATGGGTCTGGTCCCAACCCCATCTCTGACAAAGGTGTACCGTAATCCTGGACTGAGTGCTTGCCCCAGCTACTTACTGACACTTTGACCTTCTTTCCATCCTATTTCCTTGCTGACCCACCATTTCCCTGCTTCCACCATCCCTTCTAGAACTTTCCCATCTCCCAAGGCCCTGAAACATGGGATTCAGAGAAGGACCTATGTGGATTCATATCCCAAATCTGCCACTTAGTGCTGTGACCTTACGCAGTTCACTTAACCTCTCTAAGCCGCAGTCTTCACATCTGCAAAGTAGATCCTATAAGACTATCTGCCTCAAACAGTCAATCAAAGTTAAACAAAGCCCTTAGCACGGGACTTGGCAGGCAGCAGCTGTACAGTACACCGCATGCCTTGGAAGGCACCCACCATACCAGCTGCCCTCCCTGGGCTCTGCTTCTCTGTGCCTGTGATGCAGATAGCTGGATCTGATGACAGGTTGTGCTGCTTGGCTGGAGGTTTGTCCCGAGGGAAATGGGGTCCTGACTGGGCCCTGCTGGACAGGAGACATCACCTGCCCGGAACTCGGGCAGACAGACCTCCAGCAAGGGATGTGTCTAGCCCTTCCTGAGTCCCAGCACACACATTGTCAGAACTGGACAAAAAGCCATCCCTCTTTCTGTTTTTGAACTTCTGGCTGGGCTAGTTAGACCTCACTCTTGCCAAGTGAAGTTGTGTGCAACTTTGTTTTCCTCTTTTTATTTTTTTTTTATTTTTTTTTTCCTCTTTTTATTTTTAACAGTGCAGGAGGTGGAACCCAGAACCTGCCACATACTAGGCAAGCACTCTACAATTTAGCCACACCTCTGAAAGTCCCCCTTTTTATTGTAGAGACACCGAGGCCCAGCAGGGGTCAGGGCCTAGCAGGAACTGTCGGTGGAGCCAGATTTCCCCTTATCCAAGCTCAGCCTTGACCGGCAGCTGTGACACAGCTCCCCAAGAGGCAGAGGTGGCCTGGGCAGGGGTGCAAAGTGCGGAGCTAGGTACCACCTTGCCCTACCCCCTTTGTGTGGCTCTATGGATTCAATGCCAGAGCCACATTCACGCTAGGCAAATGCTCTACACTCATCCACATCCCAGCCAACTCTCCTCCCAGTCCTGGCTCCTCTCCAGGGGGACAAATCTGGGGAGACTGCTCTTTTATCTCCATGCCCGTTGTCTCCCCCACCACTACTGGTGGGTGGGATGCTGGACTTTTGCTTAGTTGCTGACAGGAAAGCAGATGTAAGGGCTGCTGGTGGAAAGGTCTCAGCTGGAGGCGGGGGACTTCTGGGTCACCTGGGATGGCACTGGGCAGCCTGAAACAGGGACCCAAGAAGAGGCTGAGTTTCCACCCACACTGAAAGTCTGGGGGGGGGCGGGCAGTCGGGCCTCCGTGGTGTCACTGGGGACACCAGCTCCCCCATCTGTCTGCTGTGTTACCATATCCTTAGCAGGCAGGCTTGGTGCTCATGAGCAGACTCCTTACAGTTGTACCCAGTTCTCTCTGGCCTCGTGTGCATGCTTCAGGCAGGAAAAGGAGAGGGGCTTCAGGTTCTTAACCCACCACCCAGCAGCCTCTGCTCAAAGCTCATTGGCCAGAACTGGTTGCATCGCAGAACAGGACAGTCCAGCAGTGGGGCATTTCAAACTGGGCACCTTGCTGCCCCTTACTAAATGGGTTCTCCTGTAGGGAAGCAGGCCTGGAATCTTGGGAAGGTGACCAGGAGTCCATGTTAGTGAGGCTTTGTGCTGTGGCCATAGCCAGGCCTTCCTGGTAACTGAGCCTAGATAGCTTCTCTGTGTAGATCAGAGCATGATAACACACCCCACGCCCTTTGCCCAGGGGCCTTGGCGGCAGCCCGGCCCTTACTCTCTCTGTGCCTCA